TGAAAGCAACTGTTAAATTTAATTATTTTTTTCTGTTGAGTTTAAATTCAAAAAAAAAAAAAAGGAAATCCACCGTGAAGTTGTTTTACGGAAGGATACGTAAAATTCCATGCAATGTGTATGCATGATTTTCGGTCAATTTGATTTGATCGGTTGGTTGATGTAATATGTTTAAATTTGTATTTCTATATATATATGCTGAAATAAAAAGAAGAAATAACTTCTTCTCTCCAAAGAAAGTGCACGCCTCTTCAATACAGCAAAACAGAGGCAGTTGCATTAGCTTGCTCTGTTTTGCTGCCCTCTCTCTCCTCAACTTTCTCTCTCTAAGTTTTCTCATTCACAGAGCCACCTTTCAAGCTTATTCCCCTTCGATCAACAAGTGGTATCAGAGCTGTTATCTTAAGGGACCGGTAAACTAATATACCATCGAAAAAAATCCAATGACATCCACTGGAACAACACTCCCCCCCCCCCCTCCCCCACATTTCAATGGAGAAAACTACCATGTATGGGCAATCAAAATGAGAGCCCATCTGAAAGCCTTAAGTCTGTGGGATGTTATTTTGGATGACAGTGATCCTCCTCCACCAGGGGACACTGCCACTATAAACCAAATAAGAAGGCACGAGGAAGATAAAGCCAAGAAACCAAAGGCAATTGCTTGCCTTTTCTCGGCCGTTTCGGATAGGGTATTTTCAAGGATTATGAACTTCGAATCACCAAAGGCTGCTTGGGAGAAACTTAAGGAAGAGTTCGATGGAGGAGTCAGAAGCAGGAAGGTAAAAATCTTGATACTGAAGAGTGAGTTTGCATTACTCAGAATGCAAAAAAATGAATCAGTGAAAGACTATGCATCCAAAATGACAATTCTTGTTGCACTAAGTAAGCTGCCAGTGGAGGATGATACTCTCTGGGTGGTGGACAGTGGATGCACCTCCCACATGTGCAAGGATGATGGCTTATTCATATCACTTGACAGAACAATCACTGGCCAGGTCCGACTTGGAAATGGTATGCTGGAAACCATCAAGGGCAAAAGCAACATAGCCATTGAAACCAAGGAAGGTAAGAAACTTATCACTGATGTAAATTTTGTTCCTACCCTCTCACAGAATCTTCTCAGTGTGAATCAGATGACTGATCGAGGCTACTCGGTCGGATTCAAGGATAACTGCTGCAGGATATATGATCCTGAGGATCGCTTGATTGCTTTCATCCAAAAGAAGAGATCAAGTCTACTCCTTGAAACTCAGAGAAGTAGTCGAGAGGGCCAGTGTTGCCTCTGTAACAGAAGGTGAGATCTGGCACAGGTG